CTAAATTCATAAAAATACTATTTACAAAATTTAGGTCCTCCATCGAGCTTATTTTTGAAGTCAATCGTGTTAAAGTCCGTATACTCGGCAACTTGCAGTCAATACATAAACGATCATATAAACTTCGTTGCATAGCAAAATACTCATATGCTCTACATATAATGTCTGGAGTATATAAACTTCACCAACATTAACTTTTCTCATAGCATTAAGGTGCTCAAATAAAATATTTGACTGATGCGAACTTTCTTTATTTTTTAAAAATCTAACTGCTTCAAATAAAGCTGATTTTGTTTTTATTAACTTTAATTTGTTTACAGTTAAAGATAAAATATTACAAGTTGTGCCATTATAGTAAGCTACAAATGAATAATCATCGAAAATTTCTAAAATAAATAATGGAACACCAAGTTTAGACATTTTTGATTGTATGTGTAAACTTTTTTTATTAAGCTGGAAAACAATAACATCGTTATTATCACTTAACAAAGATTGAATATCGTCAAATATAAGTTCATCCTTTTTTAGAAATCACTTAACTCATCTGGTAGATTGTTTTGAAAACCGCTTGAAGTTACAGTTTTTATAACTTTACTTGCTGGTGTGGGTAAACAACTAGTTGGTATATTTTTAAAAACAGATGGTAGATTTAAAGGCCGTTGCTTCCCATATTTGCTTTTAAAAGGTGCATCATCTGGCCAATGGAGTCGACATACTGCTGTATAGTCTGAAACAGTAAAACCAGTTCTTGGGATAGCATCACTCCATCTTTTTCTCTTCTCTGGATTCTTCGGGAATTTGTAAATTGATATTTTTGTTGTAGTTGAGTAATAGTTCGACTTGCAAAGAGGTACACATCATTTTAAAGGCATTTCAATTATTAAAATATCTATAATAATTATTAAAATATCTGTAATAAGGCCAATATTAACGTCTTGAACCTAACAACGTCTTGAAGTTGCGCTATCTAATTTATAAACCAATCAAATTTAAAAAATTTATTAAAAATGCGCGAACGCAAAACTTTCGTCAAACGTTAAAAGAATGAAATGTAAACACAGTATTAGATATCGGCCTTCAGTTAAACAACTTAGTTGCGCGATGTCAAGGCCTGTTATTATAGAAGGCCGTGTTTCAAAACTATTTATTTCCCTATTTTTAAAAATTATGGAGAGCGATCCGATTCGTCTAACTACTGTCTATTAGTCTTCTTCCTATCATAAACAAGGTTTTTGAATCTTTAATTAACAAACACTTAATCTCTCATCTCGAATCTCATAATCTACTTTCTGATCATCAATATGGATTTCGATCTTCTTGTTCTACGATAAGAAGCCAACTCCCTCTGATTGCTTGCAGGGGGCATCTGAGCTTGAAAAGGATCTCACTTCTGCTACAGAACGGGGCTCACAGTGGCTGGTGAACTTTAATTCAGATAAAACTCCATTTTTTTCAGCCAATCATTATCGCAATAATTTAGACCTTCCTATATTTATAAACGGTAATGTATTCGATGAGTCTCCTACCCTTCATCTTCTAGGATTAACTCTTACTTCTGATCTTTCTTGGAAACCTTATATCAAATTCGTTGCAAAATTAGCATCTGCTTAAGTTGCTTCTCTTTATCGAGCGCGACACTTTCTTACTCTGGATTCTCTTTTCTATCTCTACAAATCTCAAATCCGGCCTTGTATGGAATACTGTTGCCATATCTGGGGTGGATCTTCTAATGATGCCCTTTCTCTTTTAGACAAGGTGCAAAAACGCATTGTAAACAAAGTTGGACCAGCTCTTGCAGCCAACCTTCAACCTCTGTCACATCGTCGTAATGTTGCTTCTCTTTCTCTTTTCTACAAATACTATAATGGGCACTGCTTGAAGGAGCTAGCGTCTCTTGTGCCATCTACTAAAATTCATTCTCGTGTTACTCATCATTCAAATAAGTCTCATCCTTTTTCTGTTACTGTTCCTAAGTGCTCCAAAAACTCTTATTCGTCTTGTTTTTTTCCATCGAACATCAGTTCTTTGGAATTCACTTCCTTCATCTTGCTTTCCTGATTCATATAATTTGCAATCTTTTAAGTCGTCTGTCAATCGTTATCTTGCTCTACAATCTTCATCTTTTCTCTTCCAGTAACTTCCAACACTAATTAGTAGTTGCTTGCAGCCTTTTTGGAACCAAAGATTTAAAACTTTTCAAGTCTTCTGTCAACCGTTTCCTTGCTCTATAACTCTATTCTTTTTTTTTCTAGTAACTCCCAACTTAATAGTGGTTGCTTGCAGCCTTGTTGGGAGTGAATACAAATAAAAAAAAAAAAAAAAAGATTGAACTTTTAGTTTTATTTATTACCTTATCTTAAATAAAGTGTAAGCAAATAAAATAAAGTATAATATAATAATGTGATTCTACCTCTACTATTAGTCATATTTAAATTTGATGTTTTAAAATAAAGTAGCAATGTGTAAAGACAACGTGTTTCTACCAAGAACTTAAACTAAAGTTATAAATAAATTGATATAATCTTTATAACTGAGTAATGTTTATATTTAATGTTGTTATTAATAATTATTGACAAAATATTATTAGTATTTGATCAAAAAAACACTAAAAAGAAATTAATAAAAGTTACAAAACTTTTACAGATTAGAACTCATAAAAAAAGCAAATTGAAAAAATTATAAGGGCTATCTGCTCAGCAAATACTGCTAGCATTTCAAATGGTGAAATGTAATCCTTCGTCAAAAAATCTTATTTAATTTAATGCAGGATTAGCAATTAATAAGTAATAACAAAACTATTTATTGAAAACCTCTATAAACAATCATATATTAGCTTTAAGTAAAGAAAATTGAAAATATTGAAACCTCTTGAACTGTTTTAATTTTTTTTTATATATTTAAAATTTTGAAGAAAAAAAGTCAATATATAAAACATTAAAATATTATTATAAATAAAACATTCACTAAATGAAAAATCCTTAAAATAAAATGAAAGTTACTAAAACTGATGTAACACTTTGTACAAATACCTTTACAAAGAAACAAACAATAAATTTAAGTTAAACATATTTAATGAAGGAAATAAAGACTCTTAAATGTTTAAATGGGGAGGAACTATTTGTACAAATGAAGCCAGTTTTTTAACACAATTTATCATAAAAAGAATAAATTGTTAACAATGAAGAACAGAGTATATATCTTTTAAATATATTTACTCAAAAAGTAACTGTATAAAAAATATTTAGAGTATAAATCTGTATAAAAAATAAAGTATAAATCTGTTCAATAAAATTTACTTTAAATTATAAATATCAAAAAGATTAAAGATAATAAAAAGCTATAAACATCTTTTCAACATTTCTTATAAAAACATTCTTTCAACAATATTTTTTTAACACTTTTTATGACTACACTAACTACAAATAGATTTAATTTATGTGTTTCATCAAGACAGTACACCACTTAACTGGCACGGACAACAATCTTGCTCCCAACAAAGCCAAGTCACATTATAGCAAATACACCATTTGGTTAGCAAGGTCAACACTCATGCTGTAAACTAAGCCAAGTCGCAACAATTTGAAACCATGCAAACAACATAATAACCACTTACAAACTATAAACAAATAACATTATATCACAAACGTAGAAACACTTCAAATATAAAAGATATTTACACACTTACAAAATATAAACCCATACAACCTTAACACATATAAACACATAATGAATAACACACAAATATAAATGAATATATAAATTAAGAAAAATATATAAATTAAAAACTTTTTATTTTTATTTTTGTAATATTTGTTTAATTACATACCTCATAATAAATGTTAAACAACTTGGAAAATCAAATGTTTTTTTATATAAAAGCAAACAGATTTTTATTTTTCGTCTTTAAAATAAGGTATCAAAAAAATCTTGTTCTTTAACATGTAATTTATTGTTGACTGTGAAATCCAAGGGTTTTGGAGATAAACACTAACTTTTTCAAGAGTTTGACCTCTTAACCTTTAAAAAGAGCAACATCTTCTAGAGTCATCATTGTCTCCTAATTTAAAAATTACAAAATAATGTACTTTAAATACAATTGACAAAGGAATTGAATTGTGTTAGTATTATAATGCATGAGTTAAATAAATTACCTGACTTTAAAAGTTACTTTACTAATTCAAAAATAACATAAGGTTCATCCTTTACTACAGAAGTTATCAAATAAAAATCGTCGATCTTATTTCTTATTAAGCTGATGAAGTTTTCAATCTTATTACTGATTAAGCAGATATTATCAGATTATTATGGTTAAAAGTATAAAAAGAAGGAGCATACTAAATCTTATTTATAATAAATGGTAAAAAAGTCAGTGTAAACGCCCACGAATGGGCAGCAGCAGCGTTAAACTAAGTATTAATTATAAGCGATTGTATATCTGTATTGTATAGGCATCATATCTTATTTAACTATTTAAAATTTAAGTAACATTTAAAATGAAACTATTCTCAGAGGATGGTAACATTTTTAATGAAAAACGAGCTTATTTGTTTCCCAAAACTGGATAGCAACAATTTTTGAACCACAATATTCCTAAACTTTTAGAAATCCTTACATAATTTATTACTGTAGATAAAATTACATTGTGTTCGTTTAGAAATTTCGCCATTCTGGCCTGAGTTATTGTATTTGTGACTTTTAGGTCATTATGGTTCCGGTTGGAACCGCAATGTCACAAGTTCAGGCTGGAAATCTAGCTGGAATGGAATTCCGGTACATTACTAGCATTTATACGCATTTGTTCTTGAAAAAATTATATAAACACATATTTCAATTTTTATTTACATAGAAATATTTTTCAACTAATCATTAAAAATAGTTTATCTTTTTTGGTGATGACAGATTTTATTTGCTATTTATTATTTTTAAAAAAATTTAAAGTGTGTATAACATACAAGTTGTGCATCCGATTTCTGATTTTTTTTACTAATTTTTTTCTTTAGTTAAGTCTTGTCCTTTGTATGATCCACCAAAGAATGGAGCATTAAATTGCAACATTAAGAAAAATGGAATAGTTGAAACACATATCTGTACAGTGGCATGTAAATCTGATCATTGGTTTTTGCAAAGTGAAGATTTGCCTCCCTTGTACAACTTTTATGTTTGTGGTGAAGATGAGCAATGGAGAGGACAAAATGAAATCACTTCATTGAACCCAGTATTTTTTGTTCCTATACAAAAAGGAGTCAAGCCATGGCCAGACTGCTCAAGTAAATTGAATTTTTTTTTTTTAATTGTAAAGTTATCTTGGACATAAAATAAGGCATGTTCAGTATTTTATTTTATTGCAGAAATTTATTTTTTATTGTTTTACCTATGTATTTCAATTTTTATATATATTTTATAATTATTCAAGTTTTAAAACCGGGCACATAATTTTAAAACCAGGTACATCATATAAGTACAAGAACCAGATTATAGTAGCAAATGATATATTTTATATATATATATTTAAAAAACAAACAAAAAACAAATCAGATTTGTAAATATTTTTTAAAATTACTCATTAGTTTTTTTTTATGGTACTAGTTTGTACATATTTTTTTTCTTAATTCACCATCTTAGGAGTGTTACAGATATTACCATATACTACTTGAGTTCAAAAATGTGAAAAATATTTAAAAAATTTTAACATCTTTTTTCAATTTTGACTTTGAATTAGAGATTTGCATTTAATGAGGGCCATTATCTTTGTCCTGCTAAAAAAGATACTTGGATTTCTTTGTTTGCTCAAACTTAAACATCTTCATTGTAATCATCTTTCTTTGTAATCATTTCTGTTAAATAAAAATGACATTTAGCTCAATAATGACATTAATAAAAACAATCACAGATGCAAAGTCCATAAAAAAAAAATCCATAAAAATCCTTTCGATTTTTATGGATTTTTTTTTCCCTTGGACTCCAGACTTCAAATTTTTTTTTGTTGATAGTTTTTTGAGCCAATTACCAGAGATTTTAGTGATAAAATATTACCTGAAATGCTAGAATAAACTATATAAAAAAGAAAGTTAAGAAAGTTTCACGTTCAATTACTTTCCACAAAAAATAATTATTAAATTTATTGTAATAACTTATAAACAAACTCGTATTTAAACCAAAACGTTGTAATGCATTTTTATTATAGCCCAATAAGCAACTGTTAGGAAGGAGGTATGAAATTCCTTGTTAAATGCTTTTTTGCAGTGCTCTGTGATAAGATCAAAAGGACTTCTAGAAGCACTCTAAACTATATATATATATATATATATATATATATATATATATATATATATATATATATATATATATATATATATATATATATATATATATATATATATATATATATATATATATATATATATATATATATATATATATATATACTATGTGTATGCTTTCATACTTTTTTTATTAGTAAAACCATCTATTAGTTTAAACAATATCATTAAGTGTATTGGAAAAATTTGTCTTTTTTTATTGGCATCAACTTAGGTTTAAGTGTGTAAATATTTGTGCCTACGCAAAACTATGCATTGCCATCAGCTTGCCATAGGCAGTGTAATTCAATACGTTTGCGCTATTACTGGTTTAAAGTTACATAACTGTTGGCTAAACAATTTTAAATTAATAAGCTTATAGAAGTTAATAATGATTCATAAAGAAATGCTTAGATGGTAATATAAAAATTTAAAAATCCTGGAGTGCGAACAATTTTTATGACAGGAAGGACTCCACGCTCCAGGTGAAAACATGGACTCTAGGACTCTGGACCACAACTTTGCTTCTCTGATAACAATTGACATTTAGCTTAATAATAACAATTGACAATTAGCTGAACAATAACAATTGACATTTATCTCAACAATTACAACTGACATTTATCTCAACAATGATAATAGAAATAACAACAATTGCTATTTTTTTTATTAATCTTTTATTGTTTATAAAAGTTCTTTTTATTTGGAATTTTTTTTATTAAATTTTTAGTTGGAGAAATACCTGAATTGTTCAAAACAAATTTTCAAGTTTATGCTGGAAAATGCCGAGATGAAGTGCAGCAGCTACAGTTGAAACAGGCATTCATAAATGCAATGACAAATGATGTTGTTATTGATAATTTGTTTTGTAAAATATCTGCTGATCATTGCACAATTAATAATCTTGAAATTACATGTTCTTCAAATTCATATTCTGTTGAAAACATGATCATTAAGTTTACTCTTAATGGTCGGGGTAACCTTCCCGTTTTTAAGAAAAGTATACAGGATTCTATTGCAGCATTGAAATTAACATTGAATGAAAAGGTATATATTAAGTAAAATAATTGTATATTTATTATTTATTATTATATTTTTATAATTGTTATTGTAATAAAATACATAGATGTTTTAGTCGCAGTTATAAAAATTGGTTGCTAATAACATAAGATTATTTTTTAATTGTAAGCAACTCTATAGTATACATAATTGATTGATATTTATGTTTTTTAATTAAGACAATATTTTGAAAAAAATTATATCTTAAATTTAGGTTTTTAAAGAAGATATTATTGATGTTAAAGATTTCATGTTGTTTGAAGAAGTAACATGTAAGGATGGTTATGAGCTTATTGTTGTCAATGCAAGCAGTGTCAAAGATGAAGTTAATAGTGATGTTGAGAAGAATAATTTGCGATGTAGTGAGTTTTTCAAATAAATTTTTCTCCAGTTGTTCTCCAAAATTTATTGTCACAAATTTAAATTCTTTTATGTCTCATATATATAATATCAATAACATCTATGCACAGTGATAAAATTCACTGCGATGTTTCAATAACTTCACAGTGAAGTTAGTTAAAGTTAAATAGTTAAAGTGAAAAGAAATCTTTGATTTGTTCCTACTAACATGATATAAAATTTGGAACAGTCACCAAAGATTTTATTTATATGAAATTTAAATTTAAAAAATTTTTAAAACAGCATATTTATAGATAATACTCAATACACAAGTCTTAATACACAAGTCTTTCTTTCTCAATACACAAGTCTTTCTTTCTCAATACACAAGTCTTTCTTTCTCAATACACAAGTCTTTCTTTCTCAATAAACAAGTCTTTCTTTCTCAATACACAAGTCTTTCTTTCTCAATACACAAGTCTTTCTTTCTCAATACACAAGTCTTTCTTTCTCAATACACAAGTCTCAATACACAAGTCTTTCTTTCTCAATACACAAGTCTCAATACACAAGTCTTTCTTTCTCAATAAATACACAAGTCTTTCTTTCTCAATAAATACACAAGTCTTTCTTTCTCAATACACAAGTCTTTCTTTCTCAATACACAAGTCTTTCTTTCTCAATACACAAGTCTTTCTTTCACAATACACAAGTCTTTCTTTCTAATACACAAGTCTTTCTTTCTAAGAAAAATTTGTGAGGGAAACAACTTTTGTAAAAAAAATATCCCAAAAAATACATTATCATTCTGGAAGGTTAAAAACTTTATGTGCATAATTTTAAAAGAGATATTTTACAAATTTTGAATATTTGAAACTAGTTTTAGATTTTAAACAAAAAATTCTTTTAGTGGATATTAACTATAAAATTGTTTTTTTAGAGTATAAAATTGTTTTTTTCATTTAATTGTTTTTTTTACAGTTTTTTATGTCAAGATAGTATTGATAGTTTGTGTGCATTTTTTCTCAATGGATATATTTTATACTAACTGCCCATCTTATGTTTTGTGTAGTACTAATGAAACATACAGCATTCATTAATATACTATTGTTACTATAGAGGTCTAAACAGTATTAATATACTTGAGTTTTAAGCATGATACTTTTTTCTTTTCAGAATTTGCTTTTTTTTGAATGACAAAAAAAAAAAATTATAGACCTCTTTAATACATAGATACTATTGGTTTAACCCTTACCTACCAGTTGATTTATAATTTGAAGCCCTTTTTTCATTCAAAAATGGTTCCATTTAGTCCTAATTTTCTCTAATATTTTTAAAGTTATATTAATTATGTATAATTTCTTTATTTTTTAGTTCAATGCACTAAAGGAATGTATTTTGATAAAATTAGTTCAAAATGTAAAGTATGTGAAATTGGCACCTATCAACCTAGCGAAGGTCAAATGTCATGCAATAAATGTCCAGAAAGCTATTCTACTATTGAGAATGGCGCTTATTCTCATTCTTTATGCAAAGGTAAAAAATGGTATAGAAGAATTTAATGAATAAAATAAATATATTTAATTTTTATTGTTTTTTAATTTTGGTTTAGCAATATGCAAACCAGGAACCTATTCATCTAATGGTATGGAAAATTGCATCGCATGTCCAATCAGTACTTATCAACCATTTAACAAAAGCTCAGAATGCATTCCTTGCCCATTCGGAACAATAAGTGCAAATGTAGGAGCAGTAAGCATTGCTGACTGTTTACCAAGTAATGTTCTCTGAAGCAAAAAAAAAATTTTTTTTCAAATGTTTCAATAATAATATTTTTAACCTAATATATAATAATAATATTTTAAATTTAAACAATTTACAATCTCTTTATTTAGCTAAAATTGAAGTTGTCATGCGTTCTGAAGGATGTGGAGATCCCAATATTTCATATGGTTGTGGACTTTCAACTATTCATGTTAACGGCATTCAATACAGTTTGATGAAAAGAGGAATGAACTTTGTAGTTTTAGATGCTTACACTGGTAAGTTGACAACTGAAAATATCTTCTTAACTGCTTTGCTTCAATAAAAGGTATGGTAATCCCATGCTATATTTTTAGTCCCAGGATTTTGGTATTATATTTACCTAGTTCTAGGATACTGTGATTGATCCATGGATTTTTAAATACCTGTTCTTGAATAATATTAACATTATATTTTAGTAAAATTTTAAGAAAATTTTTAATATAACACATTCAAAAAAAAGTTTAAAAAAGCTATTTATTAATTTATATAGAAATTCTTTGGTTTTTTAATATACATATTTTTATAATTATGTTTTAACATGTTATACATAAAGTTATTAAATTTTAATGAGTTTATTGTTTTTATAAATATAATACACATGTAATTATTTTAAAAATACATTTTGAGAAATCAGAGCGCATCAAAAGTTTCATTGACCAAAATGTCTTCTTATTTTTTTTGTAAAAACTACTTATATCAATTTCTTCATTAATAGTTATTAAAAAATGTAATCTTTTTAGCAAAATATCACAAAGTGTTCTTTCATTTTCAAATAACAGCATTTCCTTTTGAATTTTCACAGACAGTATTGCAGCGAATTGGTATGCTGGGCAGAAAATTCAATTTCAGATTCAGACTCAAGCTATTAATGATATAACTGAATTTAAAGAGTCTAGTCTTTCAAGTAACTATTAATTTGTGGCATTTTCATTGAAGATAGAACTGTTACTAGTTCTATTTTAGATTCAGACTGAGCATTGATTCCACCATTGTGCAGATACTGAATGATTTAACTTATATCTGTGCGCTTTTGTTGCATTTTAAGAACAAGAGATGAACTTTTAACATTGTTAGCATCTTTTGTTGCATTTTAAGAACAAGAGATGAACTTTTAACATTGTTAGCATCTTTAAGTTTTTTTGATATAAAAGTTATAGCAGCATTAGCTGTAAACAAATTAGCATCCTGACAGCAAAGTGCTTCAACTTTTGCTTTTACTGGGACTAGCATGTTAATGATAACAGCTATAGCTTTAATCTTGTTAATAAATAAAGCCAAAGATTAATCTTCAGGTTGACTTGTCTATTAATGTCTTTTTTATACATTTAAAAAAAAAATAGGAGTGTTGAAGCACTGCAAAAGAGTGTTCCATCTAGTATTACAGTCTTTTATTGGAGTTATTTGCTTTCTAAATTTAATCGCAACACACTCCTACAAGATATTGTTTTTTTTGGTGAACATTATTTGCATACCTTTTTGGATTACTAGACCGCAACTTACCTCATATTATACTGTTTTTTTTTTGAATGCCTACTATGACTAGCATCGAGGTCAACCAATTCATTGTTGTCAGAAAAATCATCACCCTTGCAAGAGTTACTCTCTCAAAATTTGTCTTTTATATCTAATTGTTAGTCTTCATGAAGTTCCTGTTCTATTTATCTTTCTATATCATTCTTGTGATATACTCCAATAACAGCCAGTCGTACACCATGGGCAAAACTTTGTTGATTTACCAGTAATAGTCACCCAACTTTTTTCACTTTGTTGAGCTCCAATATTTAAATCTTTTCGCAGTATACTTACACATCCTTGTCTGCCCTTTTTTTTCTTATTAGAAATGTTTCCAAACAGCAGAATTACTTTTTTTCATATTCTGTGTAAACCATTACACTTTAAGGAAAAAAAAGTAGCTATTATAATTTAAAAAAATTTAGCATTTAAATAAACCGAAAAATTTATTTTAATTAAAACTAGTCCTATAAAATAGTCACAAACAAGAATCTGTTTGAGATAAAATAGTCACAAACAAGAATCTGTTTGAGATAAAATAGTCACAAAACAGAACTGTTTGAGATAAAAATTGCAAAAAAAACTTAAGTAAAAGTGACTAAGCACCAAGAAATTTTAAGAATGCCATTGCAATTTACATTATTTAAAAACATAATTGCAAGAGTTTCGAGTTTGTGAAGTTCGAATTTTTCTATTTTTCCTTTTAGGCTTAAAAAATCAAATCACTGGATTAAGTGCTTAATCCTGGGATATCAGGATTTTTATAAAGCACAAGATTCGGGAGTTTCAGAATCCGGGGATTACCAATATCTGCTTCAATACAAAAACAATTAAAAAATAAATAAAAAAACTAATGATAAAAAGCTTTTTATTTTTAATTGAGTATAAATATCAGCAAACTTACTTTATAATGGCAAAAAAGGAATTTGGCATTTCTTTTTTTGTTCTTGTTATTTTAATTCTGTTATTAAAAATCATTTTTGATTGACCTATATAATGAGTCATTACTAACGACACATTCAACACTAAGAAGCCGGCAATCGAAAGTTTCTCTTACCCCTGTATATAACGTTCTTTTTTTATATTGAAATAACGATACAATGTTTTTTTTATATTAGAATAGAATTTTTTCTAAAATATTGTAATTAGATCTATTATCTGTTTTCAAGTTTATTTTTATGTGAAAAATATACAAGTATATTATTTAAGGGTTTGTTTAAATTCTTCTTAAGGAAAAAAATTTTCTTACATATTCATGTAGATAAGACCTGATTGATTTTAACATGAAAAATGACGGTAGATTATTAAGATTGTCAAACATTACAAATATTTTCACCAACATTAACATATTGGTGAAAATATTGTAAAGTATTAACAAATTTTAGCAAAACATATCAGGATTTAAGTGTATTAACTTAATACTAATACACTGCTAGTTTTAAAGTTGTTAATATTGTTAATACAATGAAGTGCTAGTCTTGAAGTTGTTAGTAATGTTAATGCACTAAAGCACTGGTCTTGAAGTTGTTAATAATGTTAATACAGTGAAGTACTGGTCTTGAGGTTGTTAATAATGGTAATACACTGAAGCGCTGGTCTTGAAGTTGTTAATAATGTTAATACACTGAAGTAGTAATCTTAATATTGTTATTAGTATAACGGTAAATAGTATAAAGTTGATATAATTTTTTCAGTTCTACTTCTTGTAGAGTTCTAAAAAGTATAAGCAATGTATTAATTATTTTATAACTCAATGTTTTAATATTTTTAAAAATCTAAACAGGAGCATTTGTAAAAAGTGAGAGCTTTGATTGGCACGGAGATCATCAAGCATGTGATAAGACATACGAATGGATCAAACAACTAAAAAACGAGTATGTTTTTTTTTCTTTTTTCTATTGATTAGCAAAAATTTTTACTATTTTTAGCGAAAACATTTTTCACCCTCTTGTGACAATAATTTTAAACTATAATTTTCTTTAGATGCATTGTTTTGGCTGCTGTCCAAGATGAAGCCACTTTTAATGCATATGATAAATGCTTTCAAAGTTTAGAGTTGTTAGGCGGTAAACATCCTTTTCAAAATGAGTATCGATCTTCTTTTGCTATGATTGGTTACAAAGGTTTACATTCTGTTACTTGGGTACATCAAGAGAGAAGTGGGTATGGTAAAGGGCCTACTTTAGTTACAAAGAGTATTAGTTTGCTTTCGGTGTAACTTCTTTTATAATTTGTTTATTATTTTGGTTTGAATGTAATTTTATTTACAGTTTGGGTAATATATTAGTTTACTTTTGGTTATGGCCATCTTTAACAAGCTGCGACAGCTCATTTTTCGTTATATTAGCGAAGGTCGGTGAAAAGCATTTTTTATTTTTATTTTTGTAAAATAAACTTCAGAAACTATTAAAAAGTGTTGTTAATACAAAAAAATATTTTTAAAATTGTTTTTACGCTTAGTTAAAAGGTTAATTGGTTTTACCAAATTTTAGTTTAAAATGAATAAAACTCAATAATGTATCTTTTTTTTTATGCTTTTTAAAATATTAGCCAAAATACGACAAACTTTTAAAACTTGAAGATCTTAAAATGTCGAGATGGAAGTTTCACACAATATATTGCTTTGTTTTTTTTGTTTTTTTATAATTAAATGTATTCATTATGATAGTAATAACATAATAAATATAATTAAAAGTTTGGAAATTAAACAATATATAAATAAAACATAAATATTCCACACAGATTATTCCAAATTTTTATATACATTCCAAAGTAACATAAAATATAAACTTTTTTGTTTTTTAGAAAAATCTTTATTTGAAAAAGGAATTAAACAGACACCCAGCAAGTACACAACATTCTATTAACGTTAGAACGATAATACAACGTTGTATTCCTGCTAAGCAGGGACTTAAAGAGGATAAAGATGTTCATATAAACAATATTTTTTTGTAAACAGGCCCGAAGTCCATAAATACAATTAAATTTAGAAAATATAAATTTATTTATAGCAACTTAATATTCTATTAATCAAATCAATAGTGGTATTGCTTGTTGCACATACAACAAACTGATTCTTTAAACTTAGTACAATTATGTTTAACAGTTTAAAGAATCAGTTTGTTGTGTGTGCAAAAAACAATATCACTATTGATTCGATTAACAGAATACTAAGTTGTTATAAATAACTTTTTATTTTCTTAATTTAACTGTATCTATGGATTTTGCGCCTGTTTATATGAACATGTTTGAAATAAATACATTCTACAGTACAATAATCAGATAAATGCGTGGCGTTATTTTAAAAGATAAGAGACAGAGATAAGTAATAATGAGTGTGTTTAATAAAATGCCGCCCCCCCTCCTTTATTAATTTTTACTTGTTATTAACAAAAAAGTTATACCTCAAAAACTAAAAAAAAAAAGTGAAATACGGCCTTAAAAATAGAAAATAATTATTTCAATCACCGATAAAAATAAAAACTTTCAGTGTAAACAGGCTTTAAAAAATCTTTGACCTAGTAGTCAAAAATGGTTCTAGGAAAAAATCCCCCCGGAAAATATCGCCCCAAAAAAAACATTTTTTTTAATTTAAAAATTATCAATATGTAGTTATATTTATTTCTTTATTTATTTTAAATATTTATATAAAATACTTCATTTTTCATCAAAATTTCAAGTTATGCGCTATTTCTCGAAGGTAGCGAGTGTGAAACCCTAACCCTGACGAACTGTTAACTGGTAAAATGTGAACTCTTTTGCGAACCATCGTAGTTAATTTAGCCGTATATTTTAAAGACTTTTAAACGAAAAAATTATTAAATAAAAAAATAAAAAGAAATTAAGTGAAACTAGGCGAATGCAATATGAATATATATATATATATATATATATATTTTAATTATTTGATAGACTGCCTGCCCAAACCAAATCCTCAGTCGATGTAGCAGCACTCCGTTGCGAGTCAGGCTATAAGATAGTCGGTGTAGCAACACTCCGCGCATGTTTTACAGTTAAAAATTAAAAATTTTATTTTAAATAAAGCTTTAAAATAGATTAATAAAAATTGGAGAGTTTTTTTTATTATTATTTTATCATAAAAATAATGGTCTTTTAAATATAATGTTTTGTTTCGCAAAAAGGTTCGCAATTTACCGGTTCGCAGTTTGCGGTGCGCAGTTCAAATTTTACCGACAACCGATTGAAGTTATGATAATACAGCAGTTAGAAAATGCGCATTTGACCGCAAGCCTAGAATTAATTAGTTTTATACTTGTTTTATAAAAAATATTAGATTTGATTTATAAATTTTAAATTATCAATACAATATCCTTTTTATTAGCTTTTAGAAAAATTCCACCCCTACCTTTTAATAAAACCGTTTTTGTTGTATTATACGTATAATACAACAAAAACGTAAACATAAAAAAAATTTCAAAACTTTAGAATGTGATCAATAATTTATTGTGAATTAAAGTAGTCTTAATGTTAAAGATTTCATTCTAAAAAAAATGAAATGCAAAACCAAAAGAAAATATTTTTTTCATAGTTTACTCTTGAATGTATACATCTGTAAACATAGATGTATACATCTGATAAGTTTTCTTTGTAATTTTTAAGCATTCAATACAAAAAACAACTTCTTGATGACAGTTTGCAGATTGTCTAAACCACTTTCTAGGCAATCTCTTAGATAAATCTTTTTTCAGTATTAATTATATTTTCTTCAAAATGGCATTTTTGCTTTTTCTTATTTACATTTTTTAAAGATTCTTATAGTGTGTGCTTTCTAGATATTACCTTATGGTGCTGTAGAATTTATGTTTAACATGGAAAAAAATTTTATAGAGACATTATATATCATTTGAAAGATAACTTTATCAGATTTTTAATGGTGTATCTTGTCACATTTTTAAAGTTGAGTAAAAAAAATGGCAGATGAAAAGGGGAATAAATGATTTCTGCAAACCTGAGCAATTTTTTTAAAAAAACTTTGCGACGCCGGTATTTACCTGGGGAAGGAGGAAAAGTATTTCTTTTATATATATTTATAATTTAATCACATTTTATATCTAATTTTTAAAATTTGAAAAAATTGTTTCCGAAGGACGCTCTCCCCCTTCCCCTTCCCCCCTCCCTCCTCGTCACATTTACTGCAATCTTCGTTCAAATAACCCAATATTTATAAGAAAAAATACAAATAAATCCGACACCAAATATATTTTTTAAGTTATATATAAATATATTTTTATTATAAAAATAATCTTTCATATCTCAAAAGCATCAAAAAAATTTTCTTCTTCAATGTCTTCTTCTGAAATATTAATATTACTGTTGGTACATGTTAAGCACTCTTTATGAGATGATGTACAATTTATCCAGCTTTTTTGACAAGTGCATATATTTCAATATAGACCTTTGCAGCCACATCTGATAATGTCCAAAATGACTTGAGGACCTGCTTCTATATCTTTCATAATTGGTGCATGCATTTGATTTTGTAATACCTATCCCCAGCTCAATGGATCTAAATCAACGTCACTCAAATTTCTACATACTTTCATTTGGTGATAAACTCTGAGTCCATGTTTATATACAGTTCTTGGCGATGGTGGTAATAGAGCTGAAGCAATACTTGAATGGTGATGGTGGTAATAGAGCTGAAGCAATACTTGCACAATCAGATGCCACCATTTCATTATATTTATGTTACCTGATCTGCTGTAGATTGAAACAAGGTGAATGAAGCAGTTTAAAAAAAGGAATAGCATCCCTGCCAATATCATCAGTAGAAGTTTTTTCTTGATAGAATAAGTCTGTAGTAAAATTTAATTCATTTAAATTTTTCAACTTTGTAAAAATTGTGGTTTTGCCGAAGTTATGGATTGCTAGTATTGTGTCACACCCAGTGAATGCGTGTGCAAATAATACATAATTTAAAAGATTATCATAACTAGTATTTACAACATTCTGAATTTTATAACATACTCTTTGGTCTGTAGCCTTATTTTGTGTTAACGTTTTTAAAAAGATGCTTTGAGGTTGAGCTCTTTTATGTACATGATGTATCAATAGACCTAAAATACCAAATATCTGAATAAATTGTAACTGACTCAATGTTGTCAATCTCAAGCGCTAGCTTAACAATACTTATGTTTGCATCACTGGGACAAAAAACAACTTTAAAACCATTGTTTTGTAACTTCAATGCTAAAAGCCTGACAATATCATTTTTATTTTTGCAATTGCTTAGGAAAATACTTCATACTGGGCATGGATTAAGATAACTGATTTTAACTGTTTTATCGCTTTTGGTGAATACTATCTTTAGTGGACGACTGATAACCATCAAAAATGAAAATGTCACGTTGTAAGTGTTGAGAAAAATTAATTTATTTTTGAAAAATTTCACTAAAAAATTCTTTTTTTTTCCAATTGCAGCACCACAATGATGCGCCCCATCAGCAATCTTGATTAATACAGGTTCTTTTACTGGTGATACATTATTGAGTATGAATGTTTTCAATGTTGACTTTTGTGCTGATTTCATGACACCTCTTTTTGATAAGGAGATGTTGGATATGGTGATAATTTATATTGAAAGTTACTCTCCACTTCATTATCTGGCTTTCTTTCATCAACAACAACGAATCTTAGAAAAGGTGTTAATAGGTCGGTTGAAACAACTTCGTCTTAAATAGATACGCAGGAGTATAAGCTCTGGAGTGTTGTTATTTAATTTTTTTGTTTGAAAAAGAAATTTGTGCAGATTTTATCATTCAGATGTTAGAGTGCTCATCGCATCACTTACTTTTGCGCATCAATGCAATGTTTTCGTCCACACCCTCAACACATTTTTAGTCAAGCCTTTATCAATAACTCCACCTCTACGTTTCAGTGACTTCATCAGAGTCTGTTCAATGGCTAGATCAGCCCATATCCTTGACCTTTTTTTTTCGGTTCTTTTAACAATGTGGTTACCTGCTATTATGTATTGTGTGTAAATTAGATGATATTCTGTTTGTAAGGCATCAACGGTCTGAATTTAAAGCCTGCACGATTTTGCATAGTTATTGTGCGATATTGCAGCAAAAAGATTGGGCATGCACTTTGTTGCAGAAATATGTAATAATCAGTTAATTGTTCTCTCTGCTCTAATAAACTCCTGGACCACAGTGGATCCATGGTAAAAAAAACTAAAATCTTTAATACTCTTGATTTTAATTTTTTTTAATTAAAATATGAACAAAAATATGACTGGATTATTATTAAATTAGTAAATAAATTGGAATATTA